TTCTCTTATTTATAAACTATTTTCTTCTATAAATTATATAAACACATTTCTTAACTACTTGTACACTTAGTCAAGTATTATAGCTAGTTAACCAAAGGTCTAACTTGTTACATTACAACATACTACCATATAAAGAGTCTTTTATTCTTGTAGTAAACCTACTAAAGCGGTCTAGGCCACAATTAAGTACTTGCAGCTTTTACTTCCACTATTATTACCTTCTCTTTGCTCTTGCAAAGTTTATCTAAACTTTAGTATCTACTTATAGACTATCAACAATACTTTGATGCCAACTATCAGTATTCCAAACTTCTAATCCAGATAGCTTGGAAGAGACTAATAGATGTGTTTTAGCTTGCCAAATACTTGGTCTTTGTTCAGTTTGCCTTTGGTATCCGGTTTCTCAAATAATAATCTTTTATATAACACTGTCAAAATCTGTGCTATCTCTCTACTCGAGACTTCTCAAGTAGGCTTTCATATCCCTCAATCTCTTAGATTTATTTGGCTGCTTCACCTGAGCTTCATATAACTCATGCATTATACTATATTTTACAACCTCTCAATACGAATTGGTGAAATCAAAATTATAGATGCTGACTTAATCAATATATCATATAGTTTTATTGTAACAGATTCTATAAATTCAAATTTCGGCACCAGTAAGATTCGAACTCTTATCCTGCCACTTGGGGTACAACAACTTACCAACTACACTAAGTCACCACATTTTGAATAAATATTTAATAAATAATAATGAAATTATAAAGCTAATAATTTAAAAATAGAATAAATGTAAATTATTTTTAATAGTTATCATATAGTATTTATATGAAATCATGTAATTAACCAATCAGAATCATAAAAATAACAAATTTGACCAATCAGAATCAGTAATTTTTGTGCAACTTAGAGAAATTTGAGGCTATTTAAATAATTTTATCAATATACAAAGTGGATTTTTTTAAAAAGATATAATGTATATAATTTTATTGTTTTAAATAAGAGACCCCAAATTATATACTAGAACAATTTGATGAAGATTAATCACAATTCTAAAAAGTTTTATCAGAGATGAATTTTTGTTGCCTATGTAAAATTTTAAAATACTATGTAGATCATATCTACGTCCACCCTGATTCTCGATTTTGATTGGCTAACGGCCGTGATTTACAAAATTTTGGCTCGCATTACATAATTGTTTACATAATTTTTGGCCAGAATTAACTTTTTAACTTTTCACTTAATGTGCGACTGTGGTTTCATTAGTAAAATTTTGAGTAACTTTGGCCTAAATTATTGATCGTCCCTCTTAGCCAATCAAAATCAAGAGATCGTCACTCATAGCCAATCAAAATCCAGAATCATCTGTGACAAAATTGGTGCAGTAGCTAGGTTCAATTTTGACCTCTGAGGACAATCAGTATTCTAGTAGTTTTGGTAACACAATACGATAAGATACATCTCTACATCTAATGCTAACAGTTTTTGAGATTGTATTAGTAGCTATATTATTTTGTGTTCTTAATTCACATACAGCTATATTAATTCGTTCTTTCTTTTTTTTATTTTGTTTTGTTGTGTCTTTTTTGCACAGGCCCTTTTCTGATTTCCAACCTTTTCAATTAAATCATCACTTGGTTTTGAGCAAAATTTGTCACGATAAACAATAGGACAATATTGGCGAATATTGTTCCAAAGGTCAACTTGTTTTTCTTCCGAAAGACCTTTTGGCTCAAGCTCTTGAGGATTTAGACTTCTAGCATCGGCATTTGGTTTTAATAATTGAAATTCGTCCCATGGATCAGTAGCCTTAATCTTAGCCTTCATTATACCAGGAGCTTCACTGCTGAACTGGAAAAAATGGTACTTTTGAATTGCTGGAGGTTTACGGTACAATAAGCTAAGTGCTGAAGTCCAATCACAGAATAATCCTATTTGATCTTCTAAGCTTACAGAAAAATTATTACTCGCACTCCTATTTATTACTTCAACTAACTGGTCAATGCACCAAACTTCTGATCTGGCATACTCTTTTTTAGTATTACCAAATCCTCGGTCAACAGAATTTCAAGTATGCTCTTTAATCTGGAAGCAATATTTGATTTTTTGAAATATTTGGGTGTGACAGGCCCATAGGAAATACCATAGAAGACATGAGTTTTTATTTTGTCCACCGCAATTATCCAATTTTATTTTATTTATTATATTATATTTAAGTATAATTTAGAGAACGCCTATTTCCACCATAGATATTTGCTATTTCCACCATGGATATTTGCTATTTCCACCATGTTACCATACTTTCTATATGACTTTCAGCTACATAAATATGACGAGCATATTATTGTCATGCTTGAAGTTGGCATCTGCCTGAAATTGAAACTTCAAATATCTGAAGTTGGCACCTGCCTAAAACCGTTAGCTAGTGTGCAGGATGATCTAATTTTAGGAGCTAATTTTAGTCAAATGCAACTTCAGGCACTTAAAGTTCCAACTTTAATCGGGTGCCAACTTCAGTCGTGATACTGGTAAATTTTAAAAAATTCAACACGTTGAATAGCAGTTGAATGATACCATTCAATGCGTTGAATTTACCAGTATGATAAATTATGGAAATGTTATGCGTCATTTCTCAATTTATATCTAACATATATTTTAGAGAACCACTATGGAATCATGCTTATATAGCTGAAACTTATGTGAAAAGCATGGTGGAAATAGCAAATTTTTATGGTGGAAATATGCGTTTCTATAATTTATTTATGATTATTAAATGTAAAAAATATCGATTAATATATACCTAATTTCATTTACTTTACACATAACAGAAGTTAAAAATAGATGCACCATAGATGTAACTTCATTGGCCCCTTTCGCTACTTTTGCTTCTGTATAAAGAAAATGCCAATGACGGTCAATACCTTCTTCCACTAATCCAAATTGGTGCACTTTTAATAATGACGAATAATA